TATAAGCGTTCAGTTGCTGGAGGGGCCCCCCGAGTCGATGGGCCGTGGTCGAGACTGGAATGTTGACCTGATCCCCAAATTCCTCATGGCCAATGGTGAGGGAGACGAATGAGGTATTGTGGGGGGCGCTTGCGATGACCAGAGGAGGGTTAGGCTCCCGTAGAAGAGGCAGCCAGAGCAGGTAGAGTTTCTGGAGGGAGCCATGCTGACGTTGTTGCCTTTCCGTCACCGCCCTGCAGGGCAGCTGGTGAAGATGCTGCTGTATACAGAGGTGACTCGCTACCTCGACTTCAAGGTAGTGGAGGGCAGCTTTGTCTACAAGGGGGGCAAGATCTATAAAGTGCCGTCCACGGAGACCGAAGCCTTGGCTTCCAGTGAGTGTGGGTCCCCTGAGCCAGAGAATTATGGGGACAGGGTAGTCACCCAGAGCAGGGTGCCCCTTGCCCAAAGTCGCATTCTCTGTGCGGTACCAGAAGCCCCCTTGCTGTCTTCCCCGTACCGCCCCGAGCTGTGCCTCACACTAGTTGTCGGGAGGGAAGTCCACACGCAGGGGCATGGAGGGGGTGTCATTCTTGAAGGACTTTAGCCTTTGACAGGGACTCCACCTGACCAGTGAAACATCCCCCAGTGTCAGAGCTGGGAGGGCCTTCAAAGCCTGTCCAGCCCAACCCCCTCTTTGTACAGATGGGGAAACTGAGGCCAAGAAGAGCGGGGGTGTTAATATCAGGTCACAGGGTGGTTAGCAAGGGAACGCGGCTGAGAGCTGGGGCAGCCGCTTTTTGGCCTGCGTAGCGGGAAGGAGAGGTTCTGCGGTGCGAAGCCTCCCCTTGCATCCGCTCCTCAGATCTGATGGGTATGTTTGAGAAGCGGCGCTTCCGCAAGTTCCTGGTGTTTGTGGCCAACTTTGATGAGAACGATGCCAAGACCTTCGAGGGCGTCGATCCCCAGAGCACCAGTATGCGCGAAGTCTACCGAAAGTTTGACCTGGGGCAGGACGTCATCGACTTCACTGGCCACGCCCTGGCGCTCTACCGCACTGATGAGTGAGGAGAAGCTGGCATGGCAAACTGACCCCACCCAGCCTGCCCCGGCCCTGTCCACTCCTGCTCCCTCGGCCCACCCTGCACATCTCCTGTACTCAGTCACACGCTCGCATGTGGCCTTTTCTGTTCCTTTCCTGTGTTTAATCCATTGCCTTCCCCAGGCCATGGAGGGTGGGGGGGAATGCTGGCCTGATGCTTGGGTGTGGGGGAACCAGGGGTGCTGTTATTAGAGCTTCTCTTCCTGACCCTGTCCTCACAGCTACCTTGACCAGCCTTGTCTTGAGACCATCAACCGCATTAAGTTGTACAGCGAGTCCCTGGCCCGGTATGGCAAGAGCCCATATTTGTACCCACTTTATGGCCTTGGCGAGCTGCCTCAGGGCTTTGCAAGGTGAGGGCGTGGCTTCTTTCAGTTGGGAGTACTGCATAGGACTAAGGCCAAGGGCGGGAATGGCCCCGTTGAGCATTTCCGTAGCACTTTGTACTTTCCTATGGCGGCCTTCACTCACTTTGCACCTTCCTTGGAAGACGGGGTGCCGCAGCCGTGTGCTGAAGTGCAGGGCTGAAGAGCTAGGCCACCAAAGATGAGGTTTGCTCGGCTCCAGGCCTTGAGTCAGGCAGCGCTAGGACTGGGCAGGGGGCCTTGGGGCCTTGAGTTGGCTTCTCCAGACTCTTTCTTTTTGTTTGCAAGACCATTTCCGCGCCGAGCCGAGCCCTCATGCCACCCCTACGCTAGCTCTTTGCAGGATACCCTGGGTGACAAAGCTAGGAAGAATCACTGGGTCCCCTGAACTCTGCCTGCTGAAGGCAGCCTCCTCTGCACCCCAGTGCTGACGGGAGAAGGGTGCAGTGGCACCGGTCCTTGTTTCTCCTGGTTGGGGGACTTCACCATCACTTTCCCCCACCACAGATTGAGTGCCATCTACGGAGGGACATATATGCTGAACAAGCCTGTAGATGACATCATCATGGAAAATGGCAAGGTGGTGGGTGTGAAGTCTGAGGGAGAGGTAAGCCTCCACGGTGCGGTCATGATGGTCTGGGTGGGGCTTGTTCCTCCCCTTGGAGGCGCTCTTCCCGGTGACCCTGGCTCTGCTGGGTTTGCTGCTTCTCAGCTCTGATGTCCTCGGGGCACCAGGAGAAGTCTACGTGGCCATTCCTGTTGGCGAGAGGTATCTCTCAAAGCCCATGTGCTGTGTCTGTGGTCCAGGGAGTGTTCCTGATCAGTGTCTCAGCAGAAGGGGTTGCCCAGCTCTGCATATTGGGTCGTACCTCCCTGAGGTATAGGATGGAGCTGTACGCTACAGGAGGGGCAGTGGTGACAGCTCAGAGGAGCATCTTACCTGCTGTGACCCCATCCCCACAGCCACCTGGGGGGGTGATTGGATAGGGACAAGGCTTTCTGGTGGTTTTGCAGGTGGCCCGATGCAAGCAGCTGATCTGTGACCCCAGCTACATTCCAGACCGTGTGCGGAAGGCTGGCCAGGTTATCCGCATCATCTGTATTCTCAGCCACCCCATCAAGAACACCAACGATGCCAACTCTTGCCAAATTATCATCCCCCAGAACCAGGTCAACAGGAAGTCAGGTAGGCCAGGCCCCACGTGACTTCTTCCAGTGTGCTGTCTTTGGGGTGACTCTGCCTCTTCCCATCAGCCTTGGGGCTCTCTGCCTGGTCCTTTCATGGAAGAACAGGGACCCACATCATAGTCCGTATGACTTGGGGCTCTAGGGATTGGGTGGCTTGGACTCTTCTCCATGGGGGTGGCAGCTTGAATGCTGCTTTCTGTTGGGGCTAGGGAGGGGCAGGCAGGCCCAAACCGAGCCCAGCCCCGGGGAGCCCTTTCTATGCCTGAGTTAACGGAGCCCTACCTCCGGGCAGACATCTACGTGTGCATGATCTCCTACGCACACAACGTGGCTGCTCAGGGCAAGTACATCGCCATCGCCAGCACCACAGTGGAGACCGCAGAGCCTGAAAAGGAAGTTGAACCAGCCCTGGAGCTGCTGGAGCCCATTGACCAGAAGTGAGGGGCTAGGGGAAGGAAGGGAGCCGAGGAGCTGGCGGACTGGGAGACAGGGACCAGGGAGGGAAAGGCTGGTTGTGAGGCCTGTTCTCTTCTCCATCTGCTCCTCAGGTTTGTGGCCATCAGTGACTTGTATGAGCCCATCGATGACGGTTCTGAGAGCCAGGTAAGCAGCCTGTCCCGGCCCCGGCTCCTGGCTGCCTGCCCAGGGCCCCTGCCCAACTCACCCCGGGCCCCGGCTCCGGCTGTTTTCAGGTGTTCTGTTCCTGCTCCTACGATGCCACCACACACTTCGAGACAACTTGCAATGACATCAAAGACATCTACAAGCGCATGGCAGGCTCCGCCTTTGACTTTGAGAACATGAAGCGCAAACAGAACGATGTCTTTGGGGAAGCTGACCAGTGATTGCTGACCCTCCCTCAGCCCCGGGTGCCCTCTCCCCACACCCGTGTCTATTCTCCAGGGCTGGGGAAATGGGCGTGACTAAGCACCCCTATTTCCAGCATCCTCTGCTTCCCCCACCACATTCCTGTCATTCACCTCATTGATTCACTGACCAAATCCTTAACCTTAGCGTTGGTTTGGGAGGGGGGGTTTGGATAGCATCCTCTTTCTCGGCCCTTCCTTATCCTGGGAAAAGAGGGTTCCTCTCCTTGTGTGTCTCTTCCCTCCCCCTCCCCCCCCACTTATAATTCTTCTGCTCTGTCTGGGAAGAACATGGAAGAAAAGCTGACTTCTGCCCCCACTGCCCTTACCCCTACTGTAGTGGCCTTTGGAGATGCCCCCTGCCTCCCCCCACCAACTCTCTTGCGTGTTGGAGAGAAGGGGCCCTCCCAGCACAAAGTTGCATTC